GGGGGGGGGGGATAATGTTAATAAAATAATACATTTAATAAAAAAACTACGAAAAGCCTTACGTGACTTATCCTGGAGGCCCAGACGAGTCACGTAATCCCAATGTCGCCGGTTCGAGTCCGACCGTGCGTCTCACACACACACGTCTTCACAGTAGCTTATGTAGCTACAAGAAAGTTTGTTTTTATATCTTACACCAACGCTACAGAGGTGAAAATGAATTAAATTGCCATACATTTATTATTTATTATGAAATGGGTGCATTTTATGTCCCGTAGGAATATTAATATGTCCCCACACTAGTGATTTATGAATAACAAACAATGAAATCGATGGTGCCGCCAGACAGAAACTGCCACATAAACGCCACCTATGTAACTAAAAAAAATACACCAAAGTGAAACAGGATTTTACGCCACATAAGTTAAACTACTGCCTCTTCGACCATAGTCTCTTTCTGGAGGTGGTCCAGACCTCCAGAAGCCCGACGGCTCCACCGTGCGGCCGAGCCGGAGCACACACAGACACCTTCAATCAGAGCAGGGGACAGCTCAGACATGGTTGCCGTTAGCGACCGAGCAACTGAAACTCGGAGATGCGTAACGACGAAAAGTAGAACCGAGCTTTTACGAAGGGGGTTTAAAAAAATAATAACTTAAGTGTTTGTCCGTGTAGAAACAGGGGGAGAAGCTGGGTTTATTCTTTCTTTAGTTTGTACTCATCATGGCAACTCCACAGAGAAAGGAAGAAAAGTGCACGATGGCGGAGGGAAACACGATGGAGGTATGCCGACGTTATCGATGATGACACCGTTGATGAGTCCGCGCCCAACGGCCACACTAGAACCGTTAGTTAACGTCTACCATTGACAGTATGGTGTCAACTGAATACACGTCAAATTTAACAGATAATTATTTTAAATACGCAATTGTGTCATTATCTGGTATACGTAGGTGTGAGCATAGATATACATAATAAATATCTATGGGTGTGAGTGGTATTAAAATTATTTTATAAGTCTGTAAGTTAAATAGATTTTATTTTTTTTATTTTTTTTTTTATTTTTTTTTTTAAAGGTAAATAGTGCTAACTTCAGCAAACGGTAAAGTAACCGTTGAGTCTTCAAACTGTTTTCAAACTGTCGTCCATCATTGTTCACTGTGTTATAATGTTACTTTATATTATATATTTATTATATATTTATATTAAAATAATAATAAAGAGTATAGGTTTGTAGTATAAGATGAGAGAAGATTTATTGATCCCACACTGGGGAAATGTACTTGCTACAGCGGCTCCAAATACAACATAATAGATAAGGAAATACACATTAAATACAAAAAAAGACTAGGAAAATACAAGATATAATACAAATAGAATAAGAGTTTAATGTACTTTATATACAGCTTTTAATTACAGTTGTGACTGATAAGGAATTTTGTGTATATTTTTATGTTCTGTTGTTGAAATAGTCAATCTAATTTACAACAACAGTACATTTATGGGCAAATATTATACTTTCTATTCCACTACATTAGAAATACTACATTGGAAATATTTGCTATATTAATTATGAATTTATAAAGTAAGATATAATGTATTGTTTAAAATAAAACTACCAGATATAAAAGGGAAAAGTAGTCAAATGTTATATTTAAAATTATTGAAATATTTAATTTAGCTGATAATACTTATGTACTTTTACTAAGTTTTTAATGGAGAGTACTT